TTGGGAGCCAAGCACTGGGGTTGTGCAGCCAAAGTGTCCTAAAAAAGGTTTTCCCCCCCATCTCTGTCATCCACCACTGCAGCCTGGTTTGAGGACACGGGCAGAGCGCTCCCAAAATTGATGTTTCTCAGTTGGAAATGAGGAGGTTGGTCAGATTTTGTGGTCTGCTCTGACCTGTAGGGGACGTTGCAAGGGGCACTGCGAAACCCTCTGCAATGAGCAATGCTCTCCCAGAAACCCGTATTGCCTCTGGGAACCTGCAGCCTGCCTCCAAGTCTGACCTTGCTGGTTTGAAGCCACGCTGAAGGGGAGAACGAGGTGAGAAATAACAGGCAGAAACAAGAAAGCTTCGGCAGCCTCAGGGCAAATCTTTATTTGGCAGCAAAACCATCAAACTTGACGGGATGGAGGAGCAGAGGGTTGGGAGGGGGGAGGAGAGAGGTGGGAGGGATGGGGGGCAGAGGGTTGGAAGGGGAAGCGGGAGCTCAGAGCTCTGGGTGGCTGCCTTCAGCTCAACCCCCCTTAGTGGTTGTGCTGGTGCTGGTGCTGGTGCTGGTGGTCCTCACAGAAGTGGAGGTGCTCGTGGGTGGCGGCCGTCACCCGCATGATCAGGAGCATCACTTCACCAAAACTCAGCTGCTGGTCCTTGTTGCCATCGAGGTCCCTGAAGATTTGGTCGATAGAGGCCTGATTCTTCACGTGCTGCAGGAGAAGAGGCAGAGTGCCATTGGTCACAGCCCCGAGGTCCCCCGGGTTTAATGAGACCCTCCTGGGCTGCTGGAGATCCCAGCTGCTGCTCCAGGGCGGCTGTCCTTCATCTGTCCTTATGGCATCTCATGCTGCTGGGTGGGGAGAGCTGGGGCAGGAGCACATTGGGAGGGGGCTGCTGGGCTGGATTTGCTCCCTAGGGCACTTGGGCTGATAAAAACCAGTGGGGCAGTGAGATTCAACCCAAGGGCCTCCCAGCCTGGGGCACAAGAAGCCCTCCCCCGGCTCTGCTCACCTTCAGGTAGTTGGCAAGCTGCTTCTCAATCAGGAGCTTCAGCTCCTTCTTGGTCAGGGTGTCTTTGTCCCCCTCCCGTCTCGAGAACTGGTGGAAGACATCGATGATGACGTCTATGGCTTTCTCCAGCTCGGAGAGCGGCCCCTGGGTCTGGCAGCCCTGGGAGAGGCAGAGGCACAGAAGGAGGTCAGGATTGCAGCAGGTGGCTGCACATCAGCACAGCTCCCTGCAGGCAGGTGGGGATGCAAGCCTGGCTCTTAGTCGTTCTGTTTTCAGGCTAAATTTGAGCTGTTTGCTTGGGTAATCTCCAAACCAAGGAAGGCTGGAGGAGGTTGCAGCCTTTGCTCTCTGGGCTGTGCAGCAAAACATGACGTCTAAGAGCTGATTTTTCCCCCCAGAACGAGCCTTCTGCAGCTGGGGCAAGGCTCCCACAACGCCTGTGTGGCAGTGCAGGTGCTGAGCCTGAGATCTGACAACCCACAAGCCCCTCGGTGGCCATCCCACACTGCAGGCAGCTTTTTTCCATGAGGACACATCTCTCTCCCCCATGGGTTCCATTCCCATCTCCATCGGCGCTCCGTCCTCTGCTGGAACATGTGGAGGCTCACAGGGCAAGGAGGAGCTGCCCATCCCTCTGCTGGCTCAACCTGCACCTGGAAAAGAGCATGGAGACCTTAGAACCCCCCACCACCACCCTCTGACTTGCCTTGCTCATGTTGGAGAAGCAGAGATGACCGTCTCAGGTTGAACTGCAGCTGGTCTGGAGCGCAGCATCTCTTATAGGCTGCCCGCCAGCCCCAGCCCCTGCTTGTGAAATGCCTCTGTTTCATCCCATTACGGTCCATCGTCATGACATCGTGGTGTGTTGCTTAAGGCTTGGGGGTGTAGTTCCTTAAAAGGGGTCTCTGTGGCTTTTCCTGCAATGTTCTCTGGGTGCCAGGGAGGTGGCCTTGTCCCCATAGCCAGCATCCCTCGGCCATCAGGGCCATCCTTGCTAAACCCACCCATTTTGGCAGCTTCCCTCTGTTTTATTCCCCTCTCCAAGGGCGCTCCTCCACCGCACCCATAGCACTGCTGTCCTGGTGGACCTGGTGCAGCCAGAAGCATCCCAAAATCCCACTGCTCCACATTGATGGGGCCATCTGTGCAACACAGACACTGCAGCAAGCAGCTCTCCAGGAAAGGCAAGCAGCACGGGCAGCCTCCCAGCCCAGCACGGCTCCAACTGTGGCTCTTTGGGTCTGTTTCTCCCCACCCCGGTTTTGCCCCAGGGGTTGGGTGAGGCTGAAAGGTGGATTTTTTTGCTTCGGGTTTTTGTTGTTGTTGTTGTTTTAATGCATGCCCTCCCTTGGTGGCATTGTGCCTTGTTGACTCCAGGTGCCGCAGAGGCTGGGTGCAGGCAGGTTGGGAGCAGAGAAGAGCAAAACAAGATTTTCCAGCTTTATGACAGCCCCCCCTTTCTCCTCCTCCTCCCCCCCCCCATCCCTGCTGATTCAGCCTGCTGGGCTGGGTCTGTCCAACCTGCTGAGCACGGCCCCCATCTCCAATGTCAGATGAGAACCAAAGTGGTGCCACCGAGCTCCTAATGAGCAGCCATGGGGCAGCAACGGTGCCATGGGAGCTGTTGGGGGGGGGGGGCACAGCCCAGCCCTCGTTGCCAGGGAGATGCAGGTTTCACAAGGCGATGCTCCGGTGCACGGAACAGCCAGGGAAGGCCTGGGATGTTTCACAATGTCGGGGACCATCCGCTCGGTTGCAGAATTTGGTAGCGATTTCAGGAAACGGAGCTTTGGCCCATTGTAGCATCGTGAGGTGGGGTGGGGAGAGGATGGGCTGAGGGGGCTCAGGGTTAAGGGCAGAGGGGTTAGGGTGAGCATTAGGGTTAGGGTGAGGGTTAGGCTTAGGCTTAAAGGTCGGGTTAGGGTTAGGGTTAGGGTTAGGATTAGGGTTAGTGTTAGGGTTAAGGTTAGGGTTAGGGTTAGCGTTGGGGTTAGGGTTGGGGTTAGGGTAAGGGTAAGGGTTAGGGTTAGGGTAAGGGTTAGGGTTAAGGTAGGGTTAGGGTTGGGGTAAGACTAGGGTTAGGGTAAGGGTTAGGGTTAGGTTTAGGGTTATGGTAAGGTTAGGGTTGGGGTTAGGGTAAGGGTTAGAGTAAGGTTTAGGGTTGGGGTTGGGGTTAGGGTTAGCGTTGGGGTTAGGGTAAGGGTTAGGGTTAAGGTAGGGTTAGGGTAAGGGTTGGGGTTGGGGTTAAGGTAGGGTTAGGGTTAGGGTAAGGATTAGGGTTAGGGTCAGGGTTAGGGTTAGATTGAGGGTTCGGTTGACGGTGAGGGTTAGGGTCAGGGTCAGTGTTAGGGTTAGGCTTAGGTTTGGTTAGGGTTAGGGTTAGGGTGAGGGTTAGTGTTAGGGTTAGGGTTAGTTAGGGTTATGGAGAGGGTTAGGGTTAGGTTTAGGGTCAGGATCAGGATTAGGGTTAGGGTTAGGTTAGGATTGGGTTAGGGTTAGGGTTTGGGCCAAGGGGCTCGGGGCAGCAGCTGGTTGCTCAGTTGTGCCCACTAGGCCGCAGCAATGGTACCCCTGAGCATCTTCTGTCATTCAGTCACTCAGTGCAGCAACTTTGCATGAACCCAGGTACCATTTTGGGGTCCCGGCTAAGTGGTGCACATCATCCCACTGGGCTCAACAGGTCTCTCTTTGCAGCAGAGCCTCCCAGCCCGGTCGCACCCATGCACTGTGCCATGGTGAGCTGCAATCCCAACCCTGAGGCTGCAGCATTGGGCAAGCATTGCTGCAGGGCAGGGAGTGGTTGCAGGCTGTGCACAGCACAGAGGAGCAGGTTCAGGGTGAGCAGGACCAGCAGTGCCTGCAGGAACCGAGCCCTGACTGGGCACCCCGTGCTTGGCAGTGTTTGCTGAAGAGCTTTCCAAATACATTTATGGGCAGAAGAGAAAGGCTTGCAAGGCGGGGTTGATGCTGCTGCATTTCTTGGAAGGTTTAGCATGAGATTGGGAAGGAAGTTCTGGTTGCTAGATGTGGTTTTAGGGTGGTGAAATCAGGGGGATGCACTGAGGCAAGGCAGGTCTTTAAGAACCCTTCCGACTCAAGACGTTCCAGAGACTCTGAGCAGGAAGGGGTCTGTGGTGGGGGCTGGGTCTGCCTGAGATGCCCACAGCTGCAGCTGCTCTGATGCTGCTCAATGCTGCTGCCTGGGGGGCACAAATGAGCATCCAGCTGCTGCCCTGAACCCCCCAACCTAAATCCTAACCCTAACATTAACCCTAACCCTGAACCCCCTGGCTCTAATCTTAACCTTAACCTTAACCCCAAGCATCACCAGCCTCTTCCCAGCAGCGCCCAGAGCCAGGACAGGAGGCAAATTGAGACACAGGGGTTGGCGTGAGCGGTGGGAAGCGCTCCTTCATCCCATGGTGACAGAGCACTGGGATGGGCTGCCCAGGGAGGTGGTGGATTCTCCTCCTCAGAGATCTCCAGATGCTTCTGGGGGTGGCGAACCTCTCTGGGGGTCACTGGTGGGCAGGGGGCTGGACCAGAGATGCCCCCGGTGCTGTGCCCTGTGTTGCTCCAGCAGAGAGAGATAAAATCTAAAATCTCTGACTTTCCCGTGGAGTGGAAGCTGTGTGTACAGAATGTGCTCTTATGCATTCTGTGTGTCTTTGTTTTTTCTCCCCTGGATTCACACTGGCTTTTCCTTGGGCAGACAGTGAGTGACCCAGCTGGTGCCCACCCACCACAGCCGTCACAAGCCCCTTCCTTCACGGGTTTTTGGGGTCCTTCACTCGGGCAAACACTTCACCCACAAATGATCCCCGCTCCCCCAACCCTGAGAAGGGAGCGCATAGATAGGAAGGACTCAGGGAGGTTCAGGCGATGCTTTATTATCTTATGGGTGACCCAAGTGGGCAAGATTCAGCCAGAGCCCCATTCCTCCATGCAAACCCCTCCGGGTCCTTCCTCGGGGCCCGGCTCCACGGTGTGGGGTGGCTCAGTTGCTGTCTGGCTTACATCTGTCATCCTTATGGATGATGCGGTGCGCGTCGTCGGTCACCTTGGCCAGGACGATGGTGAACTCCTCAAACGTCAGCTCCTTGTCCTTATTCAGATCCGTCTCCTCAAAGAGCTTCTGCAGGTACCCAGGACGGTTCCTGCCCTGCAGGGGGGACAGGGTGTGGGTCAGTGCCCCTCCCCAGGCTGTGGGCACCACCTCAAACCTGTTCCTTTCATTGCTGAGAAGCGTTTGGAGGATGTGGGATCATTGGGATCTTCTATTTCCAAGGAGGATGGGTCTTGCCTTATGTGGGACTGTGGGTGTCCCATCCCTGCAGGTGCCCATAGTCTTGGATGGGACCCTGGGGGGGCACTCAGCTCGTAACAAGGGTGGGCTTGGGGAGGCTGTGAGGTCCCTTCCAACCCAACAGTTCCATTGTTCTAGGATCTTTCAGGACCCTTCCAACACAAGGCATTCTATGGTCCTAGGATCTTTCAGGACCCTACCAACCCAAGGCATTCTACGGTCCTAGGACCTTTCAAGACCCTTCCAACCCAAGGCATTCTACGGTCCTAGGACCTTTCAGGACCCTTCCAACCCAAGGCATTCTACAGTCCTAGGACCTTTCAGGACCCTTCCAACCCAAGGCATTCTATGGTCCTAGGATCTTTCAGGACCCTTCCAACCCAAGGCATTCTACAGTCCTAGGACCTTTCAGGACCCTTCCAACCCAAGGCATTCTATGGTCCTAGGATCTTTCAGGACCCTTCCAACCCAAGGCATTCTACAGTCCTAGGATCTTTCAGGACCCTTCCAACCCAAGGCATTCTATGGTCCTAGGATCTTTCAGGACCCTTCCAACCCAAGGCATTCTATGGTCCTAGGATCTTTCAGGACCCTTCCAACCCAAGGCATTCTACAGTCCTAGGACCTTTCAGGACCCTTCCAACCCAAGGCATTCTATGGTCCCAAGGACCTTTCAGGACCCTTCCAACCCAAGGCATTCTATGGTCCTAGGACCTTTCAGGACCCTACCAACCCAAGGCATTCTATGGTCCTAGGATCTTTCAGGACCCTTCCAACCCAAGGCATTCTATGGTCCTAGGACCTTTCAGGACCCTTCCAACACAAGGCATTCTATGGTCCTAGGACCTTTCAGGACCCTTCCAACCCAAGGCATTCCATGGCCCTAGGATCTTTCAGGACCCTTCCAACCCAAGGCATTCTATGGTCCTAGGATCTTTCAGGACCCTTCCAACACAAGGCATTCTATGGTCCTAGGATCTTTCAGGACCCTTCCAACCTAAGGCATTCTATGGTCCTAGGACCTTTCAGGACCCTTCCAAACCAAGGCATTCTATGGTCCTAAGACCCTTCAGGACCCTTCCAACACAAGGCATTCTATGTCCTAGGATCTTTCAGGACCCTTCCAACCCAAGGCATTCTATGGTCCTAGGGTCTTTCAGGACCCTTCCAACCCAAGGCATTCTATGTCCTAGGACCTTTCAGGACCCTTCCAACCCAAGGCATTCTATGGTCCTAGGATCTTTCAGGACCCTTCCAACCCAAGGCATTCTACAGTCCTAGGACCTTTCAGGACCCTTCCAACCCAAAGCATTCTATGGTCCTAGGACCTTTCAGGACCCTTCCAACCCAAGGCATTCTATGGTCCTAGGACCTTTCAGGACCCTTCCAACTCAAGGCATTCTGCAGTGGATCCAACCTAAGCCATTCTATGAGCATGGGTGGTCCCACAGTGCCTGGGTCTGATGGACCACAGCCCTTCAGGGATGTTTTCACCCCATTCCTGCCAATGCACCCCCAGGACCAGCTCAGCTTTGCCCCCCTCCCCAGAGCACTCACACAGACACTCAGGAAGTTGGGTGCCTGCTCAGTCAGCAGTGTCTGGAAGTCACTGAAGTTGAGGAGGTCCAGCTGACCCTCGCGGATGCTGTACTGGTGGAAGACGTTCACGATGGCTTCCAGGGCTTTTTCCAGAGTGCAGTTCCCTGGGAATTGCTGATCCTTGGGTTGTGAGGCGGTGGTGTGCGTGGACATGGTGGGATACCTGCAGACAGAGCTTGGGGCCATCAGGGGACAAAGCCAAGCACCCCACACCTTGCTGCCAGGCACCCCCAGATTGTGCTGCTCTCAGCAAGTGCCACCCCAAAGCAGAAACATCTCCATCCCTGCTAACAGTGGCACAGAAATGCCATTAAGTGATATTAACCCACCACCCCAAAGGGGGAAACGTGGCTCTGGAACAACACAGGCGTGATACCAAGTGATACAGAAAATCTTCACCCTCATCCCCCCTGTCTGCTGCAGGAATCCTTCCAATGCCACTCACCCTTGTCTGCGAGGAGGTTTGCAGAGGACGGGTCCGTTGTAGTGATCCCAGCACCTGGATGGCCCTTTATATGCACCCCGGGATCTCTTTCATCAGAGGCAGTGACACACCTGGTGCAAGCAACAGCTTGAATTAGCATTTCCCACACGTGGAAATTGCGAGGTGGGACCTGTGGGTCTGTCCCCATCTCGGTTCCTGGTTGCACCCACCGGGCTTCAGAAATGCTGTCCTGCCACCCCCACGTCAGGACAAAGAATGGGGAAACGTCGGACAGAAATGCGGAGCCCGCCAAGCCGATGCGCCGAAGCTGCGGGTTTGGCGACGTGCTGAGCGTTCCGTCCTCTGCCGCACCGACGCAGCAGAAAGGTGGGATGTTCAGAGTGTTGCGGACGTGTTTTTAGCACAGATGCAGGCCCCGTGTTTTCTGCATTATCAACTGGTTGAACACAAGCAAAGATGGAAGCGTTATCTTCATTCGACGGTTGGGTTTCCAGGCGATTTTCCATTATTCGCTGCTTTCACGTCGCCGGCGCCCTCGTGTTCTTTGGAAGAAACTGAGCTCAAGGAAGGGGAAAAAGAAATCCGGGGTCATGGTCTGTACTGCCCTGAGCTTCAACTGGAGGTTTTGCAACAGCAGCAGGTTCTGAAAGGATGAAGATAATGAGAAGATGTAAAAATTAGACAGGAGGTTCTGGGAAGAGGTGGGGACACAAAAACAAAGGGTGCTTTCGGAGGGCGCTTCTCGCAGCCGGGAGCAATAACCAGATCTGTTGCATGATTTTTATTCTGGTATCCCTGACTCACTTTATTGTTTCTTTCTCTTCCTTCTGTCATTAGGGCTTCTCGACAGTCCCTAATTGCATCCTCATTCCCCACCTGTCATCGCCAGCAGTCAGCTGGGCGGTGTTCGCTGTGTCCCCTCAGGGCAGGGCCACGGGTCCTCCGCTCCCACCCACCCCAGTGATGCTCCCCAAACCTGCAGTGACATCCTGGAAGGGGACAGCACCCAATTGGGGAACAAGAGCTGCTCCCCAATGGCTGAATTGCAGCGTCGGAGAGCGACGACTGGTGTCCCTGGGTGCAAACAACCACTCGGCCCACGTTTCCTTCCTAAACTTGGTGCTGCCAAGTCTTCCCCCCCATCCCCCCCAAGCCTGAGGTTCCCCTCTCCATGCATGGCTGCATACAAATGCACAGCTCCATCCTGCTTTTGGATCAGGTCCCCCATGAGCGGGCGGTGGCACAGGGACTCCAAGCAGCTGCCGCCCTGCACGGACAAAAGCACGAGGCTGCATCGTGCAGCACTGCATCCCCAGAGCCCCTCTGCATCATTTGTTGCCCCTCTGCCACACTGTGGCTTGCAGGAAACTGCTGGTTGCTTCGTGGGTTGCAAAAGCATCACCTCCACCTCAGGGTTACCAGCTGAGCTGGGTCTCAGCAGCATCCAGAGATCCCATACAGGGGCAGGAGGGGCTGCCCAGGACACCCAGTGCTGAGGTGTGGGGTGCAAACACTGCTGTGCAAGGGGCTCAGGGAGCTGGTGGGGACCTGCTGGGATGTGGGCACTGCAGGACACAGCCACATGAAGCAGCCCAGCACAAGCCATGTGCAGCTCTCCTCCCTCCCCCCTCCCCAGGGAACAGCAGGATGGATGGGGATGCCCTGTCCCATTCCCTCTTCCCGTGTCCCCACGCCTCATTGCTGCCACATGCTGTCTGCGTGTGACCTCCATGGCTGCAGGCTGGGCTGGTGCATGTCCCCCCCCACGCCCCCCCAGACCACAGGACACAGCACAGGTATGTTTGGTGCACAGAGAAAGACAATTTATTTCAGTGTCACAGGCAGAAGCAGAGAGAGCAGCCTTGGTCGTGTGCTCATGGGCAGACGGGGGAGATGCTGCTGCTGGAGGAGCACAGCTCCGCAGGAACGGCCTTAATGGTGGGGACCGTGGCCATGGCCGTGGCCGTGGCTGTGGCCATGTCCGTGATCGTGGCCATGGCCGTGGTCCCCAGGCTTCTTGTGGGACCGGTTGTGGGCATCGATGGCCACGAGGCTGAGCGTGGTGAGGAACTCGGTGAACTTCAAGCGGCCATCGTGGTTGCTGTCAGATTTGGCAAAGAGCTGCTTGATGTACTCATCAGCAGTCGTGTTGGGCTGCGGGAGGACAAAACGAGTCAGGGCATGGGGTCCCCCTCAACCCCACAGCTCCATCCCGGCGCTCCCCACTTCCCATCACCTCCATCACTGACCCCACTCCGGGGATGGTCCGTGGCCAAGTTCAGGAGAACCCCATCAACCCCCCCATCCCCATCAGAGAGTCTCAGCCCTCCCGTGCCCCGGGAGAGCACCACCCATGGGGGTCCCACAGACAGAAGGATGCTGAGCAGCGCAGCGCACCGGCACGGTGTCGGTGAGGAAGGGCTTGGCGTTCTCCTTCAGCAGCATGGCAAATTCATTCCGGCTCAGGTAATCATCCATTGGGTTCCGGATGGCGTAGCGGTGGTAGATGTTGATGGCGCATTCCAACGCGAGCTCCAGGTCGGTTTTCATCTCACTGGGAAAACAAAAGCAGCCAAGCGTTACAGAAGAGGCAGAGCCCTCCAGGAGCTCCTCTTGGGGGTAACCACTCACCAACTGATGGTCGTGGGGTTCCTCCGACAGCGACGTGAGCAGGAGAGCAGCGGCAGCGGCGGTGGCTGTGCGGTGCAGCGAGGGCTCTTTTATACTCTCCCTGAGCTACGATCTGCGACACCCTCGAATAACTTTGGGACGATAACCCCAGGAATTGTGCAAGGCCACCGCAGCACGCCCAGGAGGCAGATCATGCCCAGCTCCAGGAACCGACCGCTGCCGGCGTTAACAAGGGAGGGACGCACCAAACTCGTTAGGGCAAAACAAGGAAACGCCAAAAGAGACTCTTGCAGAGAGCCAGCAGAGCAGGTCTGTGTTGCTACAGGGGATTCCCCATTTGGGGTTCCCGGTGGAGATGAGGAAAGTGGGATTTTTCTGGAGCATGTGGGGTGCTGTGGGTGAGGGTCTCCACGGGGTGATGGTGGTTTTTGCCACTGCAGATGTGGTTCAAGGGGAATGTGGGGTCTGCCCTTATGCTTGGCTCTGGATGGGGATGGTTGCCCCCCGCCCAGGGCTGCTGGGGGATGCGTCCCACCAGTCAGCAGTCAGCATCCCATGTCAGTCACCAGGCAGCCGGTCCAGCAGCTGGCAAACGGCTGCAGATTGGGACCTGCTGAGTGCTGGAAGCCTCCCAGACATCACTTCCCAGCAGCAGTGATTACTGCCTGATGACAGCAACTGTTGGCATTGGCGTTGGCAATCGCTGCCAGCCACTCCTAACAGGGTCACGGCAGTGTCACCGCTTGTGAAGACCCCACAGGATCCCAACTGTGGGGCTGGGAGCAGAATGCTTTGTGTGTTGGAGGGGAGAACCCCCTGGGGCAGCCCCCCTATGCAGTGCAGAAGCCCTTTGCCCCATCCGTGCTCCTGGGGGTGCAGAAAACCCGCGATGCCCATTAGGGATTTTTGGAGATGGGAAGGACAGAGGTGGTGAAACCGCTCCTCATCACACCTCCCCCTCCAGGAGCTCGAGGAACTGGTTCCAGGAGGAGCAGGCATTGCAAAATGGTGAAACAAAGAGCGGTCTGTACGAGGAGCAGGATGGGTGCACCTCCCTGAGAGGGGGTCCCTGCTGGTGTGGGGATAGAGCAGCAGTTCTTGCAATAGGTGGTGATAATTGTGTGTCTGTCTGGGCAGGATGCAGGGGCACGCACGCGCCAGCATGGGGATGTGACACGGATGCACCATTGGAAAGGTGCAAAGGGACACCGATGTGCCACGTGGGGGTGGGAGAAGACACAGACGTCCCATGGGGCAGATGAGAAGGGGGGCAGATGAGAAGGGACACATGCATGCACACACGCACCCACAGTGAGCCCCTGGCTGCCCTCTGCTGCCCACTGCGCTGCTGCTTTGCTGAGTGCTGCTGTCCCAGCGCCACGGGGGTGGAATGGAGGTGGGGATACAGCAGGGCTGGGCGCAGGGCACGAGCAGGGCCAACAGGGCGGGATGCTCTTCGTGCATCGTGCCAGTTCTGATGCAAAAAAATCCCAAGTCCGGTCCCAAAAGGTCTGAGGGCTCACGGGGGGGGACAGAGTGTCCCCCCACCCCTGCGATGTGAACACAGCGCGGCCGCATTCAGCTGCTCCACTGATCTGCCAGGCTTTAATTGCTCTGAAGTTCAACAACGACCACAAAACACAGCTGCAAATCTTTACAAAAAGTTTTATTGGACCCCTTAGAGGCCGTTGGGAGGGGGGGGCTCAGCCCTACTTGTACTGCAACAGGGCCTCGTTGTAGATCATGGCCAAGGCACCCAGGAAAGTGACGTATTCCTGGAAGTTCACCTCCTGGTCTTTGTTGCGGTCCAGGTCCTCCATCAGCCCCGCGATCTCCGCATCCTTCAGTTTCTGCAGCCCCAGAGAGCACAGAGCCGTTAAAAATCGGGGTGCCAAGGGGGGGATGTGACCCCATGCTTACCCAGAAAGGGGGGACACAGCTGGGGGGCACCGAGGGACCCAGCCACGAGCACATCCCCAACCCACATCCCCGCTAGCAAAGCACCGGTGTTCACACTGCGTCCCATAAGGGCAGGTGTGGGGGGCAGGGCTGTGCCACCCCCCCCAGGTGACGTCACGCCTCGTGTCACCTCCCACCCTGCCCGTCCCATGCCCGTTTTCCGGGTGGGTGCAGCAGTGTTGGCATCGCTGCGGGGCACTCACCGGCCCGATGGTCAGCTCCTTCTGGATCAGCTCCTTCAGCTCGCCCTTGCTCAGGCTGTTCTTGTCACCCTCCTTGCCCGAATACTTGTGGAAAGTGGCCACCAGGAGCCCGATGGCTTGGTCCAGAGGGGCTGCCATGGCTGTGAGCTGGGCTGTGAACCAGGGCAGAGCTCAGCATCCACTGAACCCCTAATCCAACTCTCCCAAACCTTCAGCACCCCCCCACAGCCCCCAATCCCCCCCCCCCCCCATTAGCCCGGTGCTGGGGGCACAGCTCCTGAGGTCCCAGCTCAGCACAGCTCCAAAGGTGGGGGGCTGCTCTGTGTGTCCCCCCCCCCCCATCCCAGGGCGTTGCACAGATCAGGGCCGTGGCTGTGCTGACTCATAGGGCACGGTGCCCGCCGCCTCCGCACGCAGCCACGGGGCTGTGGGAGCTGCTGGGGGCTGGGATGGGGGGCGGAGGGGGGCACGAGTGGGGCGGATGGGAAGAAGCCTTCTTGAGGTCTCCGGTCCCCATCGCCTCGCCAGCCCGGAGATGGGAAAGGACAAGGGGAAGATGTTGGCTTCCTTCGGGGTTCCCCACATCTGGACACTCTGCACATCTGGAGAGCAGCACAGAGCCCCGGAACTGCCGCAAGGGTTTGGTGAAAAGGGAATGGGAAGGAGGAAAGGGAAACTTACCGCTGGAGCAGGGCAGGATCCGGGAGCGGGGAAGGGAGGGCTGTGGTGCGCAGCTCCTCTGTGCATTTATAGCCGTGGCTGAGTCCTCCCATCCCCGGGGGGGGGGCCAGGGTTGGATGGGTGCAGCGGTGAGGTGAAGCCACTCCTCTGCACGCCATAACCCCACCCCGGGCGTGAACACAACCGAAACGCCGCTCCCAGGGGTTTACTGCGATAGGGGGTGGGTCCTGGGTGCCCCATGGAGCAGTGGGAGAGGGACAGCCCCCAGCCCCATACACTGAGCGCATCCCACCGGCTCCCATTGGCATCGCCAAAGTGGGGCTGCGGTCCCGGCTGTGGGGTCAGTGATTGCTTCATCACCAGGGCTGGAAGTTGCTCACCGTCCCCGTTATCGCGGTGCCATCGGAGCCGTTGATCCCTGAGATCTCCCAGCCAGGAGAAGCGGGGCAGGGCGCTGCCGGTGGGGCTGACTCAAGGGGATGGGGCTGACTCAAGCCTGCGGGTGACTCCTGTGCATGGGAATGGGCACCTACACAACCCCAAGTCCAGACCCAAAAAGCCCGGATCCAAAAGTCCAGACCCCAAAGTCCAGCCTCAAACTCCAGCCTCAAAGTCCAACCCCAAAGTCAAGCCTCAAAACCCAGACTTTAAATCCCCCCTTTTTGTTCTGAGTCACCTTCCAGCACCTGCCAAGCGCACGTGGAGGGGAAATGGAGACTTCCCATGCACGACAGGACACCGACCCCGTACAAGAACCCCGCTTGCAGCTCACACAGCAGACTGGCTTTGGAGCAATCTTTATTGGAAGAGCGTTCAGATTGCAGCGAGGGGTGACGCAGCCCTGCTGACCCCCCCTGCTCACTTCTTGCGCGGCGTTTTATCGGGGTACTCCTGGAAGAAGTCGTTGCACATCACAGCCACGCAGGCCAGGAACGTGGCGTACTCGTGGAAGTCCACCTCGCTGTCCCTGTTGCTGTCCAGGTTGTTCATCAGCTTCTGGAATCCGGCTTCATCCGTGCGTTTCTGAGCATGGGGATGGAAAGGTGGCACCGAGGGTCTCCAAAGGACCCCCAGCCCCGTGTCCCCCCCCCCACCGCACTCACGCTGATGAAGCTGGGCAGCTCCCTGGTGAGCAGCTCCTTCAGCTCCGCTTTGCTCAGCTTGAACTTGTCCCCCTCCTTCCCCGAGTATTTGTGGAAGGTGGAGACCATCACAGCCAGCGCCTGCTCCAGGGGGCACGACATGGAGACACCGGGGGTCTGGGGGCACTGATGGCAGCTGGAGGCAGAACCCGGCGCGTTGTCACACCCGTGCATCACCACGTCCTCCCATTCCCCCAAGCAGCGGGGCCAGGTGGCACCGGGTGAGCAACCCCATAAACAGCAATGATGAAGGAAGCAGCAGGGAGGGAGGAGGGCAGCAGCTGGCAGAGGGGAACGCAGCCTCCGGTGCTTGTAGGGGGGGGGTTAACAGCATCTGGGGGGTGGCCAGAGAACCGTGGGCAAAGTGACTCACCAAGAGCTGGAGCACAGCGATCCGGGCAGGATGGGTGAGGGCAAGGCACTGGGATGTGCTGCTTTATAGCCTCACCACCCCCCTCAAGCCCCCCCAGACAGACGAGGAGGAACCAACGCTGCGTTGGCCACGCATTGGCTGATGGAGACGGAGAGGAACCCCCACGGGCAGCCCCTGCTTCCCCCCCAGAGCCTCCTCCCAGCTCAGCCCAGTGTGTGGGTTGGGTCCAAAAGGGGAGAAAGTGCCCCTGGGGAGGCAGGGGGGGGTTGGATGGAAGGCACAGACTGATGGGGGGACGAAGCATTTTGCAGTGCCTGTCGGAGCGTCAGAAGAGGCACGAGCCCCAGCGGCGTCGGTCCAAGTTGGGGGTTGGAGATTTCCTTTCTTTTTTTCTGTTTTTAACTCAAACCACCTGCCAGCCATTTCTGTTTCCCAACGCCCCGTTGTGTAACGTGGCTCTATTTTGGTGCCCGCGTGGCCCCGCACGTGGCCGGGAGCGTGAGGACCACAGAGCTGCTGTGGGATGGGGACCAGGGAGAACAAACCCCACCAACAGCACAACGAGTGTGCTGGGTGCGAATGGACAAAGCCAAATGTCTTTGGGCAAAAGCGACCCTCGGGCTTGGAGCTCGTTAGGGAGCAGGTGCAACCTGGTGTTAATTACTGGGAGGGGTCAGAAGCACCTGGGGCTCCTTATAAAGCTTATGGGATGGAGCAGGGCAGAGCTTGGAGCTGTTGGTGAGGATGGGGGAGGGTTTGGAGTGGCGTGGGGAGGGGTTATGGGGAGTCTCTAGAAGGGTTTGGGGATGCGATGGGATGTGGGGTCTCTGTCAGAGCTTGGGGGCATGAGGGGATGGGGGGTCTCCAGGGGGGTTGGAGGCATGATGGGATGTGGGGTCTCGATGAGGATTGGGGACATGATGGGACGTGGGGTCTCAATGAGGATTGGGGACACGATGGATGTGGGGTTTCTATGAGGATTGGGGACATGATGGATGTGGGGTCTCAATGAGGACTGGGGACATGATGGATGTGGGGTCTCAATGAGGATTGGGGACATGATGGGACGTGGGGTCTCAATGAGGATTGGGGACATGATGGGACGTGGGGTCTCAATGAGGATTGGGGACATGATGGGACGTGGGGTCTCGATGAGGATTGGGGACATGATGGGACGTGGGGTCTCGATGAGGATTGGGGACATGAAGGGACGTGGGGTCTCAATGAGGGTTGGGGACATGATGGGACGTGGGGTCTCGATGAGGATTGGGGACATGATGGGACGTGGGGTCTCGATGAGGATTGGGGACATGATGGATGTGGGGTTTCTATGAGGATTGGGGACATGATGGGATGTGGGGTCTCGATGAGGATTGGGGACATGATGGGACGTGGGGTCTCAATGAGGATTGGGGACATGATGGATGTGGGGTCTCAATGAGGATTGGGGACATGATGGGACGTGGGGTCTCGATGAGGATTGGGGACATGATGGGACGTGGGGTCTCGATGAGGATTGGGGACATGAAGGGACGTGGGGTCTCAATGAGGGTTGGGGACATGAAGGGACGTGGGGTCTCAATGAGGGTTGGGGACATGATGGGATGTGGGGTCTTGACGAGGATTTGGGGATGTTCAGGGTCTTACGGAGGGCTGTGCTGGGGGGGCTCTGCCCCATGTCAGACCCGAGGTTGTGCTCTGTGGGTTTGGGGCCGTTTGGGAGCAGCTACAGCTCTCCCTACGAACCAACCCTGACTCCCTGTGCTGGGGAGGGCAGCCCAGCCCAGCTCACCCGCCTGGAGTGACTGCGCTGTGCACACGGGGAGCTGCCTGCAGCAAAATGGGGTTGGGGTCACCTCCTGTCCCCCAGCGTGGGTTCATCCTCAGCTCCAGGGGCTGAGGGTCCCTCTGGGCACCCAGCAACGTTTCCTACCCCCCATGACAGCACAGTGTGTGGGTCTGGTTGAGTTCCTTCCACGAACGTTGCTCATTCCTGCCTGGTTCCCACCCCTGTGCTGAGCTGGGGGGGCTCTGTGTTCAGAGCTCATTGCACCCCAAACCCCTCCTTAGTGACATTTTGGGGGGTGGGAGGGAGCGGAGATCTCAGCTTTACGCCCAGGGGCAGCTCTGAGCCTTTTCCAAAAGCGCCTCTGGGGAGCTGCAGAGTGGAAAATCCCAAAGAGAGAGAGAAGACAGACAGACGGACGGAGGCGTGAGTCACACGTGAGGCTCTGGGAGGACTTTATTGCGCAGTGCTGTGTGGGATTCACTTCTTGCGGGGCCGTTGGGCTTCGCGGAAGAACTCGTTGTAGCCCATGGCCACGCAGGCCAGGAAGCAGGCGTACTCCTTGAAGTCCACCTCGCTGTCCTTGTCGTGGTCCAGGTCGTTCATCAGGCGCCGGAACTCCCCTTCATCCATCTGCTTCTATGGGGGCAGCAGGTTTGGGGGCTGGGAGGTGTCTCCATGCAGACATGGATGGAAGCCCCCAATTCCCTCCGTTCTTACAGTGAGAGCGGGGTTTTTTTCTTTCCCTCCCAAGGGAGGTGGCATTTAGGAGCTCTGCAGGCTGCATGCATTCTTCATTCATAAGTTTTGCCCGTTCCACCCCCACACCCCCCCTCAATCAAACCATAGGCAGAAGAAGGAGGGAAAAAAAGCGACTGAAATGGGAGCATCGCTCTGCCGCTGCCATCCCAACACCCACAGGTCTGTGGGTGCTCCAGCCCCAGGCATGGGGTCCCTCCTTTGGGTGGGCTATGGGGCAGCACGCAGCCCCCCACCCCCTGCTCCATGCACGGCCCCGGGGCTGCTTTGCTCACACCAGGCTGTGGCTGTGCCATGTCCCTACGTGCGCTTACGGTGCCGAAAGCGGGCAGCTCCCTGGTGAGCAGCTCCTTCAGCTCCGCTTTGCTCAGCTTGAACTTGTCCCCCTCCTTCCCCGAGTATTTGTGGAAGGTAGAGACCATCACAGCCAACGCCTGCTCCAAGGAACACGCCATCATCACCTGCGTGGGGACACAGCAGGGTGACCTCGGGGGGAACCCACCCGGATGGATGCGTGCCTCAAAAGGGTGCGGAATCTGCTCCTCACATTGCAGCTGTGGAGTAAATCGAGGGCAAAAAGGGACTCACCGGGGTCGATGCTGAGCAGGGACAGCAGGAGCCGGGGTGTCAGTGCCACTGTCACTGTGTGCTGGTGTTTATAGGGCAGTCGGGGGGTGCAGCCCCTCGCCCCCGGCTGTTCCCAGCCCTGGGTTTCACCCGCGCCCCATTTTTGCTCACTGAGCTGCGTGATGCCATTAATCGGAGAAGGGGGAGGGGGCTGGGGGTGAGCGTGGGGATGGGGCAGAAATCAGGCAGCAGCCCCCATCCCGTGCTCAGCCACCATGCTCTGGGTGCTGGCGGTGGTTCCGGTGTCCCCAGTGCCAAGGGATGGGTGGCAATGGCAGCAATCATTGCAGCGTAAGCTGAGATTGAGGTGAGCAGCACAGGTGGAGCTTTCTGCACGTGGGGAGCACTTTGCAGGGGTCTGAGCCTGCTCCCAGCCCCAAAGCTGTGCTGGGAGTGGGGAAACTGTGTCCCTGTGCACAACCCATGGGCTGCCGACGTTTGTCACCCTCCTGCCCGAGTGCTGGTGAGGGTGACAGCGGTGGTGGCCCACGCTCAGGGCCTTTCTTTCCTGGTTCTGGGTGCAGGGATGGGGGTGGCTGAGCTCTGGTGGTGTTCCCCCCCTCCTGCAGGGTTGGGTGGCTGAGGGGGGAGGGGGGGTACATGGGGAGCACGCATTTGGAGCTGTGTTTATGATGGCAGTGTTTATCCCCAGGGCTGGGGGGGGAGTCCCACAGACCCCAAATTTGCCATGGACGGACACAGGAGGATGGGTACCGCCTTCCCCTGATGTCCCAAGGAGAGGCAGGGTCTGTTTCCCCCCCTCCCCTCACTGGCAGCAGTACTGAGCTGCGGCTCCCAGGGACCGTAGGCTGTGGATCTCCACGGGGATGGGCGAGGGGTGCACAACTTTGCGGACCCCTCCTTCCCAAAGGATGCGCACAGCTGACCTCCGCGTGGACACGGGGACGGGAGGCACTGTGCCCTCACGGGGGGGAAGCATTCCGTAGCCCCTCTGCGGCGGGAAGGATGCGTGGGATTCCCCGCACCCGGAGGTTGCGGTTCCCGATCCCGCACAGCGGCTGCGCTGCGCCCGGCCAGGAGCAGCGCTGTGAGTCACGGCCCCACCGCGCCCCGACGGGATTCCTGAGCACTGACTCAGCGCAGGCGGCTCCCACGGATTCCCCCCCTCACCTCCGTCCCCCCCCCTCAAAACCCTACCGGGATCCCCGGGGCAAAACGGGAGGCTGCGTGGCGGTGGTGCGGAGCGGGCGGAATTGGGAAGGGTGGGAGCTCCCCCAACCCGAAGTGCTGCCACCCCCTTGTGCTGGGGGATGTAGGGGGGGTGGGGAGGGGGCACGGGATGTCCCCGTGGGAGCTCAGGGGGCACCTCTGTGCCCTCTGGAGCTCGGGGGTCCCATTGGGGTACGCAGAGGTGGGGCTGCTGGATGGGGTCACTTTGGGAACGGCATGGGGACTCCATACCGGGACGCATCGCGACTGAGCCTCACGGACACGGGCAGTGGTGACACCTCGTGGTGACACGCTGAGAGTCGTTAGGGGACAGGGAGGACCCTTCCTCCCCTCCCCCCTTCCCACTCGGTGCCCCCATCCCCACCGCATTCACCATCCTCGCCGTGACCCCGCTGCTCCTCCAAACTTTATTGCTGCAATAAATAACCCGCGGCCACAGCCGGGAGCTCCCAGCCCCAGGGGTGGGCAGGGCAGACCTTCACCAGCCCCGGGGGTGGGGGGGGGATAGGAGGGGAGTTGGGGGGAAACTCCAAGGCTTTGAGGAGGAGAGGGTGCTCCGAGGGTACAGGAGGTGCTGGTTGGGGTGGGCTGAGAATGGACAGCATTTCTGTCCTAGGTGAGGGGGAAGCCTTTCCCTGTGCTTCCAGCCCAGCTCTGGGGGGGGGGGGATGAGGACAGGGATGGTGCAGGAGGAGCCCTCCGTGGTGACCTCGTGCCTCTTTACTCTGATGTTTGGGGTTCTGCGTGCCCTGGGCACGAGGGGCACGAAGCAGAGGGGCCGTGGAGCAGCGGGGGCTGAGCTCGGGGTCTGGGGGGCGGGGGGGGGTCAGGCCCAGCCCAGCTACTTGGTGAGCTTGATGCTCTGCTCCTGCTGGCGGATGATGTGAGCGATGGGGCTGGCGATGCCACCTATCAAGGTCCAGTACTCCTCGAAGCTGATGCGCCCATCCTTGTTCTCATCCAGGTCGCAGATCAGCTTGTCGGCCGCGCGCCTGTTCCCGGTGTCCTGCGGGGCAGAGCGAGATTTTGGCACCCGTGGGAACCCATGGGAACCGTGGGGGGAAGACGTATGGGGACCCTGAATCCGTGGGGGTGAGGGGGAAGATGTGTGGGGACCCCGAAGCCATCCCCGTGTCCCCCCCCCAGCCTCACCGTCAGCATGTGGTTGAGTTCACGGCTCAGCATCTTGCGGAAATCCTTCTTGCTGATGCGCCGCGGCTTCCGGCAGCAGCAGCGGCTCGAATATTTGTCAAAGTTGTTCACCAGCACCTGGACGGCCCACTCCAGCTCCGTGCCCTCCGCCATCGCCCCACGTTCACCTGCAGGATGGAGGGGGGTCAGGGCTGGGGCACTTGCAAGGCTTCTGCTTAGAGAAACCCATGAGGAAGCGCAGAGGTAGGCGCGTGACCCCATAAGAGCATTTTTGACCCCAACAAGGCGTTTTCCACCCCAAAGTCGAGCACCTGGTGCTCTCTATCACCCCAAAAGGCACTGCTCACCCCACCTGCCCTCCAGGGCGGCCGCCCCCGGCGCGTGGGACGGCAATAATTATGGCACCGCGGTGCCCGGACCGCGGCGCCCGGTTCCCAGGGCTCATTAGGTTGGAATGGGGCAGGGAGTGGCAGGAATTACCGGCCGGCCCTCCTCTTGCTTCACGGCTCAGGAACACCCCGGCGGGGCTCTCGGTTGAGGCGTCACCCAAAATAGGTCTGGGCCACACGAGCCACGGGTTCCCCAACCCTAAAGTCCTACCCTGTCCGTCCGCTGTGCCCCGAGGCCACCCCACACCGGGATTCCCTTCCTATGGAGCCCCTTCCTATGGATGTGCCCGATGGATTGCTGCCGTCACGGGGTCCGGTGGCCACATCCCAGCAGGATGCACACAGGCGGGGACGGAAACGACGCCGTCCGGTCCCGGCTCCTTCCTGAGCAGGGATGAGGCTGAGCAAAGCATAGAGCTATGCTGCTTCTTGCAGTGCTGATTGGTGCCACCGCTGAGCGGTGTGGGTCACGGTTGCAGCCACCCTATGGTGGATCGGTGCCATCCCGGTGCCACCGCGCTCCAATTTCACTCCACGTTTGCACCCATCTTCCCCGTTTCAGCTGCATGCAGGGTTTGGAAGCAATTTTGGGTGGTAGCACGGAGCACGAGGTTCTCCCTGTTGTGTTTCAGTGTGCTCGTGAGCTGTCCCCACCCATTTGCAGGGCCATTGAAGGGCCTGGTGCTGGTAGCAAGTTTTGCTGTGATCTGCAGCCCCCACTGCAGCCCCATAGACCTCCGCTTCTGTCCTCTGCTCATCCCAGGCTGTTAAACACCACCACGTTTGCAGCAGTTCCAACCAAAGACCCCGCTGGGCCCCACTGCTCTGCTCCAACACTGATTCACAGCACCGGTCCCACCATGCACCCCCCAGAGCCACAGAACATCATCCTATGGTGGGGCACAGGGACTTCATTCCATGGTGGGACGGGGGGACATCATCCCACACCGGGACGTGGGGATGTTGTCCCTGCACTGGGACATGGGTGGGTGGGACAGGGCTGATCTCCTGCCTGTTCCTGCCGCCATGATGATTCCCTTCTCTCCACTCTCCTCTCCTCCTTCCACAGCCCCACAGACCCCCTGTGCTGAGCTCCCCATCCGCCGCCCGACCCCGCGCGCATGGAGCTGCCGAAGGGCTCAGGGAGGGGTTGGGGGGGATTTCCACCCCGCTTGCAGCCACACGTTCCTTTGAGGGTTCCCCCCGCAGCACCCGTCGCTGGGCGCAGCGCCTCACCCGTCCGCCCGTCCCGCTGTGTCCGTCTGTCCTCCTGTCAGCCGCGGAGCCGTGGTTGCAGTGCCGCCCGCTCGTCCTCACCTCGCGCCCATCCCGTGGGCCCGAGGGCTTTAAGGAGGCTCCCGCCCCTCCCTGACGTCCCAGGGCGTTCCCAGCTCACCTGGAAGCAGCCCCGATTGCAACACACCGCAGTGGGGCCGCTGCGCCCACCCCACGGGGCCACCCCTGGGTCCCCATCCCACCCTTTCCCCGTACCGACGTGGGGAGAGCCGCTCGCCCGACGGTCCAGCAGAAAATCTCTCAAATGGTTCCAGGGTCTCCACCATCGGGGCACTGCTTAGCAGCAAAGAAGGAACGGAAACCACGCGCGGAGCTCGCAGCTGGAATTAGGGAACCAAAAGCGCTCGCCAAGAGGCTGCAGGATGCATGGGGGGGGTGGACGGCACTGCTGTCCCCGCGCGGAGTTCCCCTCTGCTGCGAGACGCTGACGCAAAGGGCCAACGTGGCAGCGATGGGGGTACGGCCCGACCCGATGGAGGAAGGATCCGTGCTGCCCTTCCCCTTCCACGTGTGCACAAATGCTGAATCCCCCCTACTCCCACCCCACGTGCGGGTACACCATGCCCTCTTTGTGCTACAGATAGAAGGGACCATGACTCGATGCTTGGGTTTGCCTCCCTTGGCCGGGTGTCACCAACCCAAAGCCTGCGCCGGCACCGAGGGGCAGAGATTCTGACTTTCCTCCCCCATCCCTCTTTCCTTTTTTTTCCTCCGCCCCCATTTTTCCTCTTTTTGTCACGTAACCCACTGCACATCGCCCTTGTCTATCACCAGCGGATGGGTGAGCACGCGGCGTTGCGCACTGAGCGTGGCAGTGGGACACGAACACAGAACCCATCCATTGGGGTCATTCCATCTCCATGCAGCCCGAGGGACTTTGGAAACGATCTGGTTGGGTTGGGATTCTCTGAACCCAAAGTGCTCATGGTGAAGGGTGCGCAGCCCTCCTCAGACACACGGGGAGGACCGACGATGCGCTGCAGGGCTGCGCCAAGAGCTCACAGCCATAATTAACCAGGCCAGCAAATTGCACCCCGCGTCGGCGCAGCGATGGCGCGGCGATCCAATGCGCAGATCAGATACGGAGACACCGGAGCTGCATATTTTGGGATGCAAAGAGGAGGTCACGGTGCCGGGCAGCAGACGCCCACGTTTCTTCCTTTGCTCCTTGGGTACCTCTGCTTTTGGGACACCGGGCCCAGGAAAAGTGTTGTGTGTCAACCCTGCTCCCCTCTGCCTGATCTCGGGTTGAGGAGGAGCGCAGTGCTGCAATCCCGTCGGGTGGGAGCCCTCCCCGGCCCCGCGGGCAGACAGCTCACTCTGAATCACAGCCCTCATTACCCCGTGCCGGGCCGATGTCACAACGCAGCCCGTATTTTTTACAAGGCATCCAGGGTGTGTGCATGGAGCCGCCGCGCAGCATCGGGGCCCCTTCACACCGCGGTTCCCAGCCACCTCTGTCGTCCCTGTGAGCTCCTCTTCCCCTGGACCCCCACCTCAGTGTGCCCCTGCCGTGTTCCTTGGGCTCGCGAGTTACCCAGCCGTGGGACTGAGCTCTTCCTGCCCCAAAGATCCTTATCAAGCTGGTTCAAACCACGGGATCACCAACAGCGCATGACAGCACTGGGGTCACCAAACCCAACTCCGGGGTCCCCCTCCCACCACAGAGCACCCCGCAGCCCCTTATCCCTTTTCCCCCTCCCATCACCCCAACCATTTGACACATTTCCTGTCTCTAATTAAATGCACACCACACCTCTCGGCTTAATTTCCATGTATTTATTTCCAAGGCAGGAACAATAAATAGTCATTCGTGTTGTGAAATCCACCCCAAGGTGAGAGGAGACAGAGGGCGGCCGCGGCCGAGTCGCGGTGTCGGGAGGAGCCCCGGCCTGGCTCCACTTTTATCACCTTTCTCCAGGTTTTGGGGGTTTTTCATCCTTATTTTTATCCTTCCCAGAGCACGGGGTGCACACCAATGCAGGGGCGGAGATGGCACTCATTGGGTCCCCATCCCATCTCCATACCGACCCTCATCCCCTTTCCAACCCCATCTCAACTCCATCCTATTCCCTATCCCAACTCCATCCCATCCAAAACCCCATCCCATCCTCATCCCCTTCCCAACCCCATCCCAACCCATCCCCATCCCTTATCCCATTCTCATCCCATCTCAACCCATCCCCATCCCACCCCCATCCCACCCCCATCCCATCCCCGTCCCTGGCTTCCTCCAGGACACAGAGCTCAGTGGGAACCACCGCCCCGTCCCAGATATATGGCGTTTCACACAGAAATCCCAGCTCCTGTCCACTGACCCCACACCTTCCCAACCTCAGAAACACCAGGGTTCCCCCCCAGTCCAGCACGTGAGCCGCACACAAACAGCTCAGGTGCTGCTGTGGGGTCCCCATTGTGGGAACCACAGACGTGGGCACCGCAGCGCCGTGCAGCATCCCATGCACGCTCACCCCACGCAGCCCTTTGCACACCTGCAGAGCCGTGCACACCAGCAGCATTGCATGCACACCAGCAGCATTGCATGCACACCAGCAGCACTGCACACACGCTGGCAGCGCCCCATGCACGTGCACAGCCCCCCGTTGCACCTCGCACCCTCGTGCTCTGCAGTGGGATGAGCAGCCCAGCAGCGCAGCCCCGTCCCTCCCTCCCCCTTTTTCCCATGACAGAGCAAGGCCTTCCCATTCCAGCTGTTGTTTTCTTCCATTTTTTTCCTTTATTAATTTATACAAAAACGGTTGCACGTGCCGCAAGCAGCTGACATCCCGCCACCGGCCCACCCCGAGCGCAGCCATCAGAGGGGGCACGGGGGACCCCACACCCGTGCAGGGACTGCGGTCACCAGGACGGAGGAGAGGGGGGCAGAAAACACCCCCAAACCACTGACGGTGTCATCGGTGCTGATCCGGAGCCCCACATCGGAGGGGTTTGGGGGAAAGGAGCAAAGTCCCTCTCGCTGCGGCGCTGCGGGGCTGAGGAGCTCCTCGTGGCGCGGGGCCGAAGCGGCGCCTTCCCACCCCCCCCTGCCCTACTTCCTCCGACAGCCCTTGGCTGCATCCCCCATCATGTCCCAGTACTCCCCGAACTCCAGTTTGGCCTCATCAGGGTCTCCCATGCACTCGATCTTCTCATCCAGGGGTCCAACGCACTGCGGAGAGGCAGAAAAACCATCAGAGCGATGACAAGAGGTGGGGCCCCCATTCCCCCCCCCCTCGATCTCCGAGCTGTGCCCCCACCTTCCCCAAATGGGGCAGCTTCTGCACCACCAGCTCCCGCATCTCGTTGGGGGTCAGGTACTCCTTCTGCCCTTTCACAGCGTAGCAGTGGAACTGGTTGATGACCGTCTCGATGGCGCGCTCCACATCGGTGAGCTCCTGGCTGTCCTGCAGGATGGGGATGGGGAAGGGGGGGTTGAGAGGGAGTGAGGGGACCCCAGAAGGGAGGGGACACCCCAGGAGGGAGGGGACACCCCAAGAGGGATGTGGAAGGTGTGTTAATGCTCCGTGCCACCGCCCTACACCGATGCAGTGGGCCTTCCTTATGGGTACAACAGCCCTCCACACAGATGTGAGCCCCCATACAGATGTGAGCCCCTCCACACACACAGATGTGGGCCCCCACGTACCGGTATTGACCTCTCTCTATAGAGACCTGAGACCCTCATACAGATGCGACGCCCCTCCACACCACTGTAGGACCCCCTGCACAGATGCAGGACCCCTCTGTCCCACTGCATGACCCCTCCATCCAAATCCGGGACCCACCTACAGACGTGGGGCCCCCCATATAAATCCAGAACCCCATCCACCATTCTCTATACGATCCAATACCCACACGCTGCTCCCGTGACCCTTCACCCTCCCACAGGACCCCGACACGACCCCCGGTGGCCCCGTCCCCCCCACCGCTCCCCGCCCCATCCCCGGGCGCACACCCCCGCGTGGGGCAGGACGGGTTCTTCCTCTCTTTGCACAAGTGGCAGTGGAGCTGTGAGTCAGTGCCCATCACGGGGCCACCCATCCCCACCCTACGGGGCTGCAGACCCTAATCCCAGTTGGGGAGGGGGGGGAGGGAGCAGCTCCGCGACCCCGCTGCTAATTAGCAGGAGCTGCATTGGAAGGGAAACGAGGGTGATTCACGGGGCGCTGCGGTTTCCCTTCGAAACACCCCGAAACCACATCATGCGATGGGGCCATTAGGGAGAAACCAGTCATCTTGTGGGCCCCCACCCCCCACCGAGGCCTCTGCAGGTGCAGAGCACCCAGTGCCCCCCCCCAGGGGTGCAGGTGGGCGCATGCTCATGTCCGAAGGGCACGGGGGGAAACTCTGCCATCCTCGGAGAGGCTGCACGGAGCTCCAAAACCCCAAACTTTCCCAGCACCGTCCGCCCCAGTCTGAGGAATATCTCCAAATCCAAACTCATCCCGGCCGGAGAGACCCCAAATCCAAACTCATCCTGGGGGGGGGGGGGTTGCACAGCTCAGAGCACCCCAAGCTCCAAGGGATGGGGACAAGATTGTCCCCCCAACTACACCCCACAGCTCCCAGCCCTCCCAATGCCGGCGTCGCCCGCAGACCTTGCGCTTCTTGCGGCAGTTGCACTGGCCCATGCTGCTCCTCCTGTGGGGTCTGCAGTCCCTTTGCTCTGGGGGGTCTTGGGGTGCTGCCGGGGGGGGGGAGAGAGTCGCGATCAGCGTTGGCTTTGGGGGAGCTTTCCCCTCCTTCGGAGTCGGGGCGAGGAAGACGCCCTGGGATGCGCCGAGCTGCCGGGACACGTCCCGGGGGTGGGAGCGTCCCTGCAAGTCGTGGCAGAGCCGAGCGTGGGAGGGGGCTGGGGAGGAAGGTGGTGGACCCCTGGGCATGGGGAACCCCCCCCTTGTCCCCCTCAGTTTGGGTCGGGCCACTTACCTGCTGCGAGGGCTGTCCCGGCTGTGCGCGCGCTGCGCTGCTGCGGGGTTTTATACCGGGGAGGTGTGAGTGGGAGCTCCCAGCACACGGTGTGGTGCAAGGAGGCTCATTTGGGAGCCTTGGCCTCCAGCCAGCGTGGGGCTGGGAAACGCCTCCTGCGCGGCCACACCGAGCGCTCCCCATCCGGCACGGCCGTGCAGCACCGCGTGGGAACGGGCACCGGGTACCAGGCACCATGCAGTGGGTACCATGCTTTGGGCACCAGGTACCATGTTTTGGGCATCAGGTACCATGCACCATGCACCTGGTACCATGTTTTGGGCACCAGGTACCATGTTTTGGGCATCAGGTACAATGCACCATGCACCTGGTACCATGCTTTGGGCACCAGGTACCATGTTTTGGGCACCAGGTACCATGCTTTGGGCACCAGATACCATGCACCATGCACTGGGTACCATGCTTTGGGCACCAGGTACCGTGTTTTGGGCATCAGATATCATGCACCAGGTACCATGCTTTGGGCATCAGGTACCATGCACCGTGCACCAGGTACCATGTTTTGGGCATCAGGTACAATGCACCATGCACCTGGTACCATGCTTTGGGCACCAGGTACCATGTTTTGGGCACCAGGTACCATGTTTTGGGCACCAGATACCATGTACCAAGCACCAGATACCATGCACCATGCACTGGGTACCATGCTTTGGGCACCAGGAACCATGTTTTGGGCATCAGATATCACGCACCATGCATCAGATACCATGCACCGTGCACTGGTACCATGCTTTGGACACCAGGTACCACGTTTTGGGCACCAGATATCACGCACCATGCATCAGGTACCATGTTTTGGGCACCAGGTACCATGCACCATGCATTAGATACCATGCACCGTGCACTGGTACCCTGCTTTGGGCACCAGCTACCATGTTTTGGGCACCAGGTACCATGCACCATGCACCATGCACCATGCACCAGATCACATCCCCAGGTGACCCCACATAGGTGGCTTGGAGGTGGCTGCATGCCCACAGCGTCACTGCTGAGGCCTGCAGTGCCGTGGGTGCACCCTGCTGCTCTGTGGGACCCCACTGTTGTGTACGTGGGGTGCAGGTGGGACCCTGCAATCCAAATCAGCACAAAGGCAGTTTGGAGACGGCAGGATCTGGTCAAGAAATGTATGGATGTGGCACTGAGGGACACGGCTGCTGGGCATGGCAGTTGGATCGGATGATCTTGGAAGTCTTTTCCAACCTTAGTTGGTTCTGTGATTCTGTGGCAGGGCTGCTTGCGTCAGGGGGCTCCACAAAGAATAGCAGAGATGTCCAGGCCCACGAAAACTTCTTTATTTTGCTTCATGAGGGTCCCCCCATCCCCATCACTTCTTCCTCCCCTCCTTCTCCCTCCACAGGGCCCGGACCAACTCGCCCATCAGCCGCCAGAACTCTTCAAACGTCAGCTCCTGGTCTGTGCTCACATCCAGCATCCGCATCTGCTCCTCCAGGGAGGGGACATCCTAAAGGGAGGGCATGGGGACAGATGGCCACCACTACCAGGGGACACCTCTGACCCCATAGGGGGATGACACGAGGGGCAGCACCACAGCCCAGACCGAGGAAACAAGAGGGGCGGATGGACAGATGGACGCTGTCAGTCCCCCCCCCCAGCACAGAAGCACGCGGCCCCTCCACCTGCAGCACCTCAGCCCTTCTGGGATGCTTTCAGTTTTGCTTTTCCACTCTCACAGATCCCCAGACGCAGGGAACAGCCCCACAGCTCAAAGTGTCCCCACGGAGACCAGGACCCCCCACCTCCAGCCCTCCGCAGCCCATCTTCACCTTCATCACGTTGGGCAGCTGCAGCCGTAGCAGCTCCTGGAACGCGGTGGCCGTCATTGTCCCCATTCGACCCTCCTTCCTCGTGTGGGAGACGAACACGGTGACGATGGTCTCGATGGCCGTCTCCACTGGGGTCAGTTCAGCTGCAGCCATGGGGGCTGCGGGGAGAGGAGCGTCCTGGGGGGAGGGGGTGATGCCCAATGGGAACGCGAGGACCCCCACCATTCCCAGCATAAGGTGCTGCTAATTTGAGTGGCCTCAGCCCTGCAGAAGTGGGGGCTGCCCTTCTACACCGCAGGGATGAAACCCCCCCCCCCCAGCCATCATGTGCCACGGGGGAGGGCAGCTGACACCCGGAAGGGGACGGTGGCACCGCGGGGCCTCATGGCCGTTGCCAGAGGATGGGGATGGGGGCGGTGATCCCACTTACCCCACTCAACTGCAGCCCCCCTGCGGGGTCTTACAGTGGTAGATTGCAGTGCGCGGTCCCTCACCCCCCCCCCCCACCCCCACCCCTTGCAGGGCTTCCCGTTGGGTTTCCCGTTTCAGACGCCGCCCGGCAGCAGCTTCCCGTCCCCTCCCCGCACAGCAGCAGCGCTCCATGCACAGCCAGCACCGTGCACTGGGGACATGGGATGGGTTATGGGATGAACCACGGGGTCCCAGGGCGCATTCGCTGCACCGAGCCACCCAGATGGTTGTAGGGTGCAAGGTGTGTACCCCCCCCCCCCCCTTCCCCCCCCTTCCCCAGTGCTTCCCAGGCTCTGTTTTGCTATGGAAATGGGGACACACATGGGATGGGAACGCTGTCCCCTTTGTCCCTTTCATCCCATAACAGTTTGTCCCAGCTGCGAAGCCTGGGCTGGGATCACCCTTCTCCAAGTGAGAGTTGTGACTCACCGCCGGCTGACATCACCCCTATTAATAGTGGGCTTTGTGAAAATTAATTAATCCAAATTAATTAGGAGGTTGGAACTGCCCGAGCGCTCCTCTGTAATCGCGGTGTACGGCAGCCCCAGCACGGCTCCGCTGTGGCACAGCCATTCCCACGGCGCCCTGAGCCGTCCCCATGGCGCAGCACTGGTGGCACGGGATGGAGGGGACACAGGGACCCTCCCCAGCAGCAGCACAGCAGCATCTTAACTGCTGTCCACCCTTGGTCCCTACCAGAGCAGAGGTTTTTGGGGTGTCCCCAAGGCCAGGTGACACCGAGTGTGACAATGAGCAAGGACAGGGCAAGCACCCCCATCACTGCCGTGCATGGATGCAGGGACGTCCCTTTGGGGACCCCACAGCCACCCGTTTTGGGGACCTGGAGCAAAGCGCAGGGCAGTGTCACCAACCCTGACGCACTCTTTCCACCCATCCATGGGGACAGGGTGACTCCAGCAGCAGGCAGCCCATCCCCACCCTCACACCCGTCACACCAGCTCACGGGGCAGGAATTGCCTTCCTGCACTCCATCCGGTCCGTCCCCATCCCGGGGTGACAGGGGGACGGGGACAGCCCTTCCGCTGAGCCCCACGTCAGGGGACCGAGATGGGAAACCGCCGGGGTGAGTCAGGCTCGGAAGGGACGGGGACAAATTGGGGGTGAGTCAGCGCCCCAAAGCCAGGCGGGCCGTGACTCGTCACCCCTGGAATTTGGGGTGCCAGGATGGGGTGAGAAGGGAGCGGACGCTGCATGGCCCCGGGAGGGGACGTGTGGGGAGTGGTAGCTTCAGGATCCCCAACGCTATCAGGACGAGTGAGCATCGCAGGGACTGCAGGTCCTGGGGTGAAAGCTTGGGGTCAGATGTGGGGTCGGTGCCCACCACCACATCCTGGTGCTGTCCCAGCCCGTCCTGCTCCACCAGGGAGGGTGACTGCGGGCTGTGACACCGTCCCAAACTCATCGCCCACCCCATCCATTGAAGAGATGGGATAAGGCCACCAGACCACGTGCCACCGCCATGTCCCCAACCACGGCACAGCGCACACCCAGCAGCTTCTCCTCTCCCAGACTCCAGAGATGGAAAAGCCTCTTCCAAGCTCCGGCGATGGATCGGAGAGACAAGATCAAACCCAGCCCCGGCACCAGCAACTGGAGCAACTGGTTTAGCTGGGTCAAAGTGGAGCACGGGAGTCGCAGAGGCTGAAACCTGTTCCAGGCTGTGTGTAAACCTCCTGGCACGTCCCTCGCTGCTCCCAGTTTGGTAAGAGCTGTTCCGGGGAGCTGCCAGTGCGGACAGGCCGGGTGGCACCCGGTCCCATTGCTTGGACAGACCCCCCCCTCCGATGTGATTTTGGGTTCGTGGCTCCAACCCAGCTCACCATTCAGGGAACACCCGAGCATTTCCTGCTCTCAGGAAGGTTTGGGGTTTGATAAAAGCGGGGCAGAGCCCAGCTGAGCTCAGCGCAGTGATGGGAGCTGTACGGCCACCGCCTGGCTCCCATCACCCACCCGTGCCAAAGGCTGCAAGGGATCGGGGTTATTTTTACACCCAGTGCAATCCTGCAGCAGCTGTGCAGGCCATGCAGTGCCAGGGTCAGGCAGTCCCGGAAGGGGTGGCCGCATTCTGCCCACTGCTGAGACGGGGACGAAGGTGCCACCGCCGCCAACCCCCCTCCCCACAGCGACACGTGAGTGACATCGGGGTCTGCTCCCCACCCTGGGCTGCACACAGCCTTCCCCCAATGCCCTGGGCTCTGCTCCTGCCCCGTGCTGGCTGCTGGGTCCTAATGGAAAAAAGGCAGCGTGTCCTGGAGCGACGCAGTGCCTGTGTTTTCCCCCAGGATCGCCCTCTCCATCCAGACCATCCACACAGTTCCATCTGGGTTCCTCACCTCCATCCAGACCTCCTCTGTAGCCACCCGAGCTATTCCAGCTGCAGGCCAGCAGCAGAGCCCCCAGAATCCTGCAATTCACCCCAAATCCAACCCCCTTCCCCCCCCCAGCTCTCCATCCCCAGGACAGGCTCAGGACCCCCACGGGATCAGGGTGGCACAATTAAGGGGATGTTGGCTTTTGGGGGTCCCCACGCCGCAGCATTTCTCAACCACAGGGACAGGAAGTGCGGAAAGTGGAAACGGAGGGAGCAGGATATAATTAGCCCCAAATTAGGGTTGGAATCTGGGATAAAGAGTCCGGCACCACCCAGCTCTTGTGAAAACACCACAGCCCAGCACCCAGAAGCCCCCTGCATCGGGAACGGCCCTGGCTGCCCCGGTTTGGGGGCTCAGCACCACTCTGGGAAGGGGGGAGGACATCCAGGGATGGGGAGGAGCAGCGGGCACGGCCGGGTGGCGCGGATGCTGGGTGGTAACGAGAGCCAGGATTATCAGCGAGGCCAGGAATCTGGTTTCTTTAGCCGTACCGTTGCTGAGGCAACCTTCGGGCAGGGATTGTGGGGCTTTTTTAATGGGACAAGGGCCTTTCTGTGAGCAGGGAGCGGGGGGACCGCGCTGCGTCACCCGATAGCCCCCGCCAGTTCCCCCCGCCGGCGTCGAGGACACCGGATACCAGCACGCATCAGCCACCAAGGAGGGATGGGGCCGGATCCATCCCGCACCACAGCGCTGACAGATGGGGGATGCCCGATGGGTCACACTCGGGGTCACGGTTTGACCCAGAGCCGGCCCACCCTGTCCCCAGCATCCCACTGCTGCTCATCCCAAGGGGCCGCAGAGGTGGCAAAAAGGGATGTGTGAAGTTACGGGGGAGACGCAGAGCACCCCGAAGCGCCCCATAAGCACTGCAAGGGCTGGAAGTGCTCCTCCAAGCGTGGGGTGAGCAGCGGGGCCAGAGGGGTGTCCCCACCTCCCAAGCCCAGCGAAGGCAGCGCGGGGCGTCCCAACGGTGCCAGCCCGGCTGTCCAGCCCTGGTATCGGATCCTCCCGGAGGGAGGGGGCCTGGAGCTTATTTAACATCCCTGGGCAGCCCAGCCCAGCACTTGGCACGGCGGGGAGCTCAGGTGAGCGCCGGGTGACGGAGGGACCGCGGGTACCCACCGTGGTTTGATACCATCAAGGGGGTTCGCAGCAGCAGCGCCCCATTAAAAAAGGGGGGGAGGAGGGAGCGGGGCACCCCACAGCCTCGCTGATGGCGTTCTGCATGGCATCTGGGTGGGGGGTGCAGGGTGGGCAATGCTTGCAGGATGGGGTTGGGAGGAGAACTGCGATCCAAGGCTGGCCCTGTAACACAGCGGGTGCCTCCCGCAGCCGGAGCCATGGCATCGCAGCTGGAAGGGGCCATGGAGACTCTCATCAACGTCTTCCACCACTACTCGGGCAAAGAGGGGGATAAGTACAAGCTGAGCAAGAAGGAGCTGAAGGAGCTGCTGCAGAGCGAGCTGGGCTGCTTCCTGGAGGTAGGAGCCGTGCTGGGGGACACACGGGGCGTCCCAACGGGCTGCCAGCCCCCAGGGCTCACCCCTGTCGTCCTGTCCCCCCCCACCAGACCCAGAAGGACACAGGGGCTGTGGAGAAGATCATGCAGGATCTGGACGAGAACGGCGACGGGGAGGTGGACTTCCAGGAGTACGTGGTTCTGGTGGCCGCCCTCACCGTGGCCTGCAACACTTTCTTCTGGGAGAACGCCTGAGCCGGGCTCCAGCTCCACAGCACCCCAACCACGGCACCCCCCAAAGCAGAGCCCCCCCACCCCACCCCACATGTCCACCCTTTGCTCCTCGTGCACCCGGGGGTCCCGCAGGGACCTGGCTAAGCAATAAAGGCATCGATCCCACCAGCAGCGTTGTGTCAGCTCCCTCATCCCCAGGGAAAAGGGGGGATGTCTGCTCTGGGCTCATCCACGGGCCCATATTGGGGCTGAGCACTACTGGGAAGGTGATCCCGGACCCGCATGGGGGGTGAGCTGCGGGGGGGCCGGGGAGCGTCGCTCCCATGGAGACACGGCGCGGCACGGCGCCGGGCGGGGCGGGAGGAACCGGTTCTGATCTCGCACCGAACAGCGCAGGGCCGCCAGCGCCATCGTCTGCCAGGCCGCGACCTGCCTTAGCGCCTCGCAACGCCCACAGGCTCAACCGGGCCACGGAAGCGGATGGAGGCACCGTCAGGCCTTCCAGAACGTCTCGGCCCAACCGCACCGCGCTGCCCCGGCCCCGCCGCGGCGCTCAGCGCCCCGCACGGCGCCACGCACGTGCGCAGCTAGGCCGCGACCGTAGCCCCGCCCACCCTGGCCAAAGTCCTCCCCACAGCGCACTGGTTGACCAATGGCAGAGAAGAACGACCATCGCGTCCGCCCAATAGCGGACAGCGCTGTGCTCGCCCCTTACTGCGCCTGCGCGCCGCCATTTTGGCCGGCTGTGCTCTGGGCGGCGGGAAGAAGGCGGGCGCTGCGACCGCCGCCGCCATTTTGTTGCGGGAGGTCGAGTGCGGCGGGAGCGGGCGGCGGAGCTCAGCCCCGGCCCCACAGCCGCTAACAGGCAGCAGGCAGCCCTACCGGAGACCTGGCGACCGTCTGCTTCGGTGAGAAACCGGTTTGGAGACTGAGGGGAGCGCTGAGGGAAGGCCGGGGCGTTTTTGTGTGTGTGGGGGAGTCTGTGAGGAGGCCGCGCTATGAGGAGGCCGCAGCTCTGCTTCAGATCCTGAGGGAAAGGAGGGGGGGGGGTTGGGTCGTTTGGATGCTGTTTCACGTCTCTCAGCTCTTTGAGATTGGTTGGACCAGGCCTCGGCTCGGTGCTGTGCTGGTCGGCTGGTGGTTTGCGGTGTTTAATGGAGAAATTGGGATGTGTGGTGGGTTTTAGATCGGTTTCCTGCTGGTCCTTGGGCAGACCCTGCGTCCCCCCCCTCCCCTTCCGATGTGATTTTGGGTTCGTGGCTCCAGCCCATCCCATCACTCAGGGAACACCCCGCTCTCAGGAAGGTTTGGGGTACGATGAAAGTGGTTTGAGGAACCGTGGTACAGAGAGCTGCAGGAGGGGGACCAGAGGGATGAAAAGCTGAACGGGAGCCAGCAGGGTGTGATTGCAGCTGGGAAAGCAAACGGGATCCTGGGCGCCATCAGCAGAGGGGGGGCAGCAGGGACAGGGAGGCGATCGTCCCTCTGGGCTCTGCTCTCTGAGGCCCCGTCTGCAGCACCGCGTCCAGGGCTGGGGGTTCCCAGACAAGACAGGGAGCTGTGGGAGAGGAGCCAGAGGAGCCGCAGGGCTGAGCAGGGGCTGCAGCAGCTCCCTGCAAAGCCAGGCTGAGGGAGCTGGGCTCGTTCAGCACGGAGAAGAGGAGCCGGGGCTGAGCTGAGTGCAGCCTGCAGGGAGCCTGCAGCCAGGAGGGGAGGCAGCTCTTGGGCAGGGGAGATGAGAGCAGGGAACGGCTGGAAGCGGAGGGAGGGCAGCTGGAGGCTGGGGGTCAGGGAAGTTGTGTGCTGGGAGAGCGGTGAGGGGCTGAAGAGCTGCCCAGAGAGGCTGCGATGCCCCGTCCATCGCTGGAGGGCTTGGAGGCCAGGCTGGATGGGGCCCTGGGCAGCCTGGGCTGCTGTGAGACGTGGGCAGGTCGGGGGCTTTGCAGGCGCTGTGGGGTCGCAGCTTTGGGACCCCTGAGCTCCCAACCCAAACCGTGCCGTGACTCTGAAATGCAATCAGCAGAAGGCTTTGTTTCCCATATTGTGAAGGTGAGCCGTTCTGGGCTGGTAGTTGAGCGTTAGGTTTGATGCTGAGAGCAGGAAAGGAGAAACCGGTCTGTGATGATGGCTGTGAGCTCTGTGATGTCAGCGCCACAAATCCCTGCAGTTCAGCGATTCTTTATTTCTGGTACTGTGATGTGAACTGGAATCCCTGCGAACCTCACAGTGTTTTATGTGCCTGAGTAAAAAAAAACCACATCTGAAATAATCGTACATTAATTAATGTCTTTCTAATTACAAATTACATCTCTCTGTATTTTTATTTGGGCTTCCCTTGCAGTCCTTAGGTAGAAATAAGCATAATTTTGGAAGCAGCCTTTATTACAAGCGAATTATTTTGCTCCATTTTCCAGAACGTTAACAAACGTTAAGTCTTTATTATATATTTATCAGTGTTACAACACGTGGATATTTTATTATTTTTCTACTTTCTGGTGATGAATTCTTCTAATTTTAAACTTGAACAAAAAGGCAAACGGGTGGTTTAGAAAAGCAGAATGATTTCTGAAAGCAATTTTGTTTTCAGCCTTGTTTGCTGTCTGTTTGTGAACAGTTTGCCCTGCGAGGCTGCGAGTGCCTCCGACCTGGAAGCACTGAAGGCTGGATGGGGCTGTGAGCAACCTGGACTATTGGATTGGGAAGCATCCCTGCCCATAGCAGGGGGGGGTTGGAACGAAATGAGCTTAAAGATCCCTTCCCACTCCAACCATGTAATGATTTGATGAAAGCAGCGCAGGCTTGGGTGGGTGAGAGGCCCACAGCTCTGCTGCTGTCAGAGCATCCAAACTTCACGTCCAGCCCCCCGCCACAGAGCGGTGGGACCCTGAACACCTTGATGCTGTGACTTCTTGTTCAGCGATCTTCCAATCTGATCGCAGGAGCTGCGTCTGTTTAAAGGCAGTTTGGGTTTCCTTCCTGCTGATACCGACAGCTCTGGAGCTGTGCTGGAGTCGTGAGGTGCAGCACTGAATGGTTGGGTGCCGTTTTGATGCCTGTCTTCTTGCACTGCTCCTGCCTGAGGCAGGGTTTCAGCTTTCTAAACAGAAGGCGGCTTCATAAGTGACCATAACTTGCTAATGGAGCCTGTTGTATCCCTGGACTTGATGATCTTGAAGGTCTTTTCCATCCTGAGCAGTTCTTCTGTGATTCTATGGCAACTAGGCTAGAAAAACCAATCAAACACCTTCTCATGTGTTAGCAATTACCTGCCTGCTTATTCATTGCCTCCCCACAGCAGCTGGGATCGAGGGCTCTGAGTGTTGAGTTGAACACACTGCAGTACCTGAGTGCCCTTTGCTAACCCTGCCTCTTTTCTCTTGCAGATTCTGTTGATCTGAAGATGGCTGCACAGTCAGCACCGAAGGTTGTGCTAAAGAGCACCACCAAGATGTCTCTGAACGAGCGGTGAGGAAGCCAACAGCAGCTTCAGCTCATAAGAAAATTAGTATTTAATTATCACTGTCCGGTGTCCAAAAAAAGCCAACGTGGTTTCTGCCCTCTTTTAACCTCACTAAAACGAGCAGATGGCGTTGCACCTCTGTCTTAAACTGCAACAAATGTGGTACAGAAGGTTAAAAGGGCAATTGTTTCGGAGCAGTCGGTCCGTAGCGATTAAAATTAAGCCGTTCGACACGTAAACGTGGCGGGATGCGTTGTGCCAAAAGAGAGAAACCCCACGCCCTCCCTTTTTTTCTTCCACATGTTTTTACATTTATCTAGTCGGTGCTGCAGTATGGTAACGTGTTACCAAAGCTGCAGCAGGCTTGCTGCTTTGTCCTAGGCTGACACACGCACGTGGTCTGGCCTGTAAGAGGCATGCAGCAGGCTGCTACACCAGCCCAAAGGCCCTGTGACAACGTTTTGGGCCTTGTAAGAGGCAAACGCTTTGCTTCATCTCCATCTCTCTGTTCTCAGTGCTGATTTCTTTACCTTTCTGTTGAGTTTTCTCCCGTTTTGTTGTCTTGCGTTGGTTTTATTTTTTCCTTCTCCGTGCCATCGAGCTTTTGCAGTTCTGCAGTGCAAACTAACGGCAATGCTGTGGTTTTGCTTTCTTGCTAATCTTGCTCTTGGTTTAATGATCGTTGAGGCAGAATAGAGCTGGTTGTGTGCAGTTCCTGCTCTGGCACGAGCTGAGCTGAGCCCACGGCTGGAGCTTCTTCCAGAGAATGCAAGCGCTGAGGTGCAGTGCTGGGAAGGCTGCTGGCCTTCTTGCTTCTGGTCGGTCCAAATTCCTCCCCTGCGGGCTTTTCCCTGGGACGCAGCAGGCAGCAGATGGGTCGCTGTTAATTTCACCACGCTCACCATCTCGCTGTTCTGCTCCTAGAGACAGAATGGCAGCGCAGGTTGAACCATGCGAGCGTGCTGAGGTGGCGGCAGCGGCGCTGCGGCGGGGTGGAGGTGCATCAGTCCGTCCCCAGGGCAGAGTTTTCTCTGAGCCTCTGCGTGATGACGTGGAGCTTTGGTGGCGTTTCCCAGCTCTTGGAGGGCTGGGGGAACCTCGGCAGTCAGATTTCGCCCCGCTTCTCTGCCACGTCCCCCTCTTCCACCTGTCATCGACGTCTCCGCTTCTCGCTCGTTTCCCATTCCTTCTTCCATTTCTAAAATCAGTAACCTAAAGCTTTGATCACTCCTGAATTAATATACAACCGTCACTCCTGAGTTTCCAGTTCTTGCACGCTGGTGGAAAGCGAGGAGTATGTAATGACGTGGCCTAAGTACCGCTCTTTACGTAAAGGTTCACGGGATCTGGAGATCCAATCTTGAGAACCGTGAAATGCCAATAAATGTATGTAATAAAGCTTAATTTAAACACCCGTTTTATTCGACCTTGAAGCTTCACTAACATGCTGAAGAACAAACAGCCGATGCCAGTGAATATTCGGGCTACCATGCAGCAGCAGCAGCAGCTGGCCAGTGCCAGAAACAGAAGATTGGCCCAGCAGATGGAGAACAGACCTTCTGTGCAGGCTGCCCTGAAGCTGAAGCAGGTGAGGGGGAAAAAGCTGGTGGCTTTTTGGGGTGTGATGGGCGTGCAAAACATCCCCAGCAATCCAAGATGAGCGCTGATGGAGGGCCTTGCAGTGCTGTTCATCCCTTCGTGCTGTGTAACTTACTGCTTAATGTGACTGAGTGAATTCATTTTTTTTGTCTTGCT